GCCCCTTATCCAAGCCAACGAGTGTGGGGAAACAGCTTCAGATTCAAGCCAAACAGTATTACTGGAGGGCATTTCTCTCACATTTGAGATGCTTCATTTGAGATATTTCCCATTTAGATAATGCAAGGCACAATGTTGTAAAAAGCCCAAGTGATGAAGAACGCTTAATGGTCTGCCCCTCCCCCCCGCCCCTCATCTGCTCTCACTGCAGCGCACTCACCACTGGGCCCTGGCCAAGGCCGGGCCTCTTTCCCAGTGCCTTCAGCGGCTCTGCAGAAGCTCAGAAGGCTGGCCCAGCTTGGCATCCTAAAACTCTTAATTTGCATTATGGGAGGCAGAAAAACCAACACAATGCAGTGCAGCACAATGCAACGCAACACAACACAACGCATATGAGATTTTAATCCTTGGCCCCTTGGGGAGTTCATGCACCAAAGGGGAGGCTGAGGACGATGGCCTCTAAGGTAATGTGCAACTTGGGTTTCAGAGTCTTGCATAGCTTTATTTCACCAGAAATAGAATGAGAAAGAGGAAACAGAAGAGGAAAAGGAGAAGGCAGAACATGTTTTATCTGCCTCTTCCTCCCAACCTTTATCTGAAGTATGGGGATAATGATACACACGTCACAGAACTAGCGAAATGACTGATGAGAAAAAACAACACATGTGGTGCGTTGAGGAAACTAGCAATCATCCCCAGTTGATGTTGTTCATTTCTTACCCTTCTCTCTTGCCCTTTTCCCTGCACAAGGAACTCACGGTAACTCCTCCCCTTCCGATTTTCTTATTCTCATGACAACAACCCTGCGAGGCTAAAATTGAGAGGAGGAAAACCCTATCAGCTTCCTTGGATTCTTGTAAAGGGGAACATGGCAGGATATAACTGCAATATAATAATTACAACAATAGCAATAATAGCACTAATAAAAATGGAAGAGCCGAGTTTAACTAAAAATAAGAATGGTTACAGCTGCAACAAGAAGAAAAACTGCTGCCATGTGATGACTAGGTCAAAGAGGTCCCTAATCATTAGATTATGTGCTGATGTCTTCCCTGGAGCCTGGGTAACCGTGCAAGGCTCAGTACCTGCTTTCAGCAAGATGTTTTGAATAATGGCAAGCCAGAGATGCGGTGCGTTGGTCCAGTGAGCAGGACAATCAGAAGAACCAAGGCTGAAGAGGGGCCATCTACTGGCAAGCGTTGTGCTCCTGAAGGACACCCCCAAATTGTGGGGTATTCCTTGGTGGATGGATCACTGGCCCCTGAGCAACCTGGTGTTCTGCCAGCCGCTCTTCTGGGTCAAAGGGAAAGCGGCATTTCCAAGCCCGTAAGAACAATCACATGTCAACCCAGAGGGCACGTCTGATGCAAGCGGCTTGCATTTTGTTTAGGGCCTCTGGTGTCTGAAGCAAGTATGAGGAAATCACATGAAGATCCCAGGCTACGATTGAATCACAGGGTGACTAGGAGGGTCTTCCTTCTGGGGTTGGACTGGATTTCATCAGGTTCTGCTACTCCTGCAACATGGCCTCAACCTAGATCCAATCCTCCCTACTCTGGGAATTTAAAAACTAGACACATTAATTGCAACCCCACTCAGTCAATGTCACCTCTGGTTTGACCCTCAAGAGACAATATGCGAAGCATTTGTGGTCTGTTGCATGGCTAAGCAGAGCACAAGGGGGGTGGGGGGAGGCAGTTGATGTCATGGAAATGAGATAATGTCTCCATCTCCAGGAGGATGCAGAGTTTGGCTCCGGGGAAATAGCATGTAGGCTTGTTGTGGGGAATGTTTGCAAGCCCAGAGCACCCAAAGTGCATGGAATGCCAAGCTTCGGTTTTGTGCACCATGCAAACTATAATCTGGCTCTTTCAGCTCAAGGGCTGGATTATATTTTGGAGAAGCTCTGGGATGGTGCGTTCGGGGTGGCCAGAGAGGAAGACTGCCCGGTGAGCTGCAAGGAAAGGGGGTGGAGCAAAAAGGCACTTCCCTGCAGCACACATTTCAGCTTAATGCTTTTAGTGCTGGGAACTGAGGCCCTGGCAAGGCGTTTCGGCCTTTTGCAATGGGGAAAATGGCACACAAGCCAAGTAAGCACCAATCGATTAGTGGCTGAGGGAGAGGCGGTGCAGCCGTCTGGGGCTGGGGATTCCAGGGGGGCTGGACAGAGCCTCTGAGCTGACTTCCCCACCCATGATTTGGAGGAAGGGAGGTTAAGAGCCCCTAGGGAGCTATCTATGCTGCACCAGACCACTTAGACCAGGGGTCTCAAACTCAGCTTACCTGGGGGCCACTGGAAGTAGAGGCTGGGTGAGGCTGGGCCGCATCAAGTATTCCCCCACCACGGTGGTGGTGGGCCGCTCATCCCGTGGCTGGCCCGGGTGCCACCGGTGCTTTGAAGGCCGCAGGGTGCCCCCCCGTGCCCCGCCCATCCCGGCAATTGGCCCGCGGGCCGCAAGTTTGAGACCCCTGACTTAGAGGGATCCACTGAGAGAGCTCTGGGCAATGATGCTCCGTGGGGCTGGAGACCTGCTGCTTAGCAAAGCAGTTGCCCCTTGCCCACCCTCGAATTTGGCTGCTGAATGGAAGGGCGCTTGTGGCTTCGCTCTTACCTGGAAGGGCCGCAAGCTCAGGTCTGCTACTGAGGCCCAGTGTTTCATGCTCCTTGGTTCAGCTGCTATCACTTGGTCCCAGTAAAAAGACAAACTCAACTTGGAAAGCACCATTCATGTATGGCAAAGCTCCTTGCTGCAGTCTCTTTCTCTCTCTCTCTCTCTCTGTGTGTGTGAGAGAGAGAGAGAGGGAGGGAGGGAGAGATGGAGAAGCCAGCTTTTAATGAGCACACAGAGGATGCTAATGATGGAGGAAGTAAAAGCCAGGGGAGGGAACATAGGCAATCAATGACAGATGCCAATAAGTGGGGAAGGAGGAAGGCAGACGAGAGAGAGAGAAGAGCTGCCCCTTCCTGGGTCTGGTTCCAGCTGCCTGCCAGCTGCTGCAGCAGCCAGTGAAGGGAGATTGATCTGGGAGCGATCTGAGGGTGGTGCTGCTCGGGGGGGGGGGGGGGGCGGGGGCAGCAGCCCGTCAGTTTCCCTTGTCTTGGATCCATGTGGAGACTTTCATCAGAGAAACACCAAGGGCAGAGATTTTCCTGCTGCTGTAGATGCTGTGCCAGTTCTGGATCACCGTTGAATGACTGTGGATGCCACCACCCATCTGGACCAGAGGAAGCCCAAGCAAAGCATCAGAGAGGGAGGGAGGGGGGGGCCTTTTCCATGGAGCAAGCACCATTCAGGGCAGGTTCTGGGTACAGGTGCATGAGTGGGATGGTTGAGGGCAGGCTGCATCAGTGGTGGATTCCCGAGGCCAGTGAGCTCTTGACTGTGGATGACCCGGAGGAGGGACCCACCATGGCAGGCTGAAGGGGCATCGGCCTGGGTCCTTAACGAGTGTGGCGAGCCCAGCTTGGCCAGTTGAAGGGCTGCAGTTTCCTCTTCTCTCAGCTCTTGCCCAGTCTCCCAGCTTCTTCCACTCCTCATGCACAAATTTGCACGTTGTGTCCCTCCCTCTTGCACCCAGTTCCGGAGGCAGCCATTGGAGAGTCAACTCCCTTGTCCAGGATACTGAATATTGATGGTAGTGTGTGCCTGGGGGAGTGTCTGGGGGAGACAGGAGAGGCTGGGAGGCAGAGATGCAGGCACGGAGGGGGAAGCAGAGAGAGAGAGAAGTGAGGAAAAGGGGAAACAGGGAGAGAGGAGGGAAAGAGTCTGGAAAAAATAGGGGGAGCGTGCAGGGACACACCCAGTTCCGAGTGCTGAAAGCAGCCTTCCCAGCCTGGAACTTTCCAGACATGCTGGAAACTCCCATCACCTCCAACCAGAGCAGCCAATGACAGTCCTGGCTGGAGAGGATGGCAGTTCGGGAGCAACTGTCCCCAAACTCTGGGGGCTGGGGAAGGCTACTGCAAAGTAATTTGCTTCATTGTTTTGCTTTGGATAGTTTGTGAGCTGTTCTGGGTATATGAGTTTGTTCTGGACACACACACATACCGAGAGAGAGAGAGAGGGAGGGAGGGAGAGAGAGAGAGAGAGAGAAATTCTTCAGAAAGAAACAGCATACCATCAGAGCAGGTCAGACTTTTATTTCGGCATCCAATTGCCAAAAATCCTCAGACTCCCCTTTGCGGGCTCGCATTCCAAACTGCCCGACCACAAAGGTCAGCTTCCCAGAAGCCTGGCATCCTCTAGATGTGTTGGCAGTTGTACTCCAACATGACTGGAGGCCACCAAATTAGGGAGGGTCAATGTTAAAAGAAGGATCCCTCCCCATGTAATGTGATCCTTTTCCCACTGCATGGGCAATGCCCCTTGAGAGACACAGGGTATTATTTGGCAGGGTTCCCCAGGAAAAGAAGCAATGCCTCCAGTCCCTTTCTATGATTTAATCAAAGCACATTGCAACAGGGCATTGTAACCTGTAATTGCAAAACTGCTTCAGCTCAGGGTTACCCTGTGAATTCTTCTGACTTGTCCACAACCAGCAGGAAGAGACCAGCAGTAGACTGAGGCATTGCAAAGGACATGTGGACTGACGCGAGCCCAAACTATCCAAAGCAAGGTCTGACTGGAAGGTGAGCTGTTGCTGGGTACGTACATCCCCCTTTTCAAAGGTCAGCATTTCCCCCAGTATCTCAGAAGGTATTTCTTATCTTTTCTGCAAGGATGTCAAATGGAAACTGAGAGTTACAGAGATGGCTCCGTTCAGCTCTTCTTCAGAAAGCTGCTTTGTCACCACTCGAAGTTGGCCTCAGTGCCTCAGAGGGGGGTGGGGAGCAAGGCGGAGGGTGGGGAGTTGTTTTGGTGCCTCCTCCCTCTTTCTGGGAAATGTTTGGCTGCTTTCTCTGTCAAGCAACCCCAGCTAGATCAGAGACAGAGACTTTGCTGCATGCAACAAGCTCTCCAGCCCAGCTCTGATTCCAGCCTCAGGCACCATCTGGTCCCATGGAGACCCCTTTCATCATCTGCCTCCTTGCTCTGTTCATAGCTAGGGGTGAGTAGCTTGTCTTAGGATGGCTGGAATTCAGGAGGTCCAAGCCTTCTCCAGAAGGGGAAAAATGAGAGAAATAATTGTGTATATCTGCTAACTCTGAAAATGTTTTCTTGGAATTGTCAACTCACCCATTGCAGGTGTACATAGGCAGTAACCACATTTGATAATGTATTGAAATAAGAGGATGGAGTGACTTCATTCTGGCAGTATCAGGGGCTAAGTTGCTAAAAATAGATGAAGGCAAGAACTGTTGTCTAAATGGAACAGCAAGGTTTGTTTTGTTTAATTGGCATGTGTGGGGGAATATTTGGGCTCCACTATAGGCTGCTCTTGAGTCAGCACTGGGAATAGGGCTAAGGTTGCTTTGCACGAAGAGAAGACGGTGGTGGGTTTGCGTGACACAAGGGGGGGGGGAGTTTCTAAGCCACGGTGCTCGTTATTCACTCCTTTACGTACCAGTCATGTGCTGGCTCATTTCTTTAACCAACAGCGGATGCTGCTGGCTGTAACATCAGCGGAGTGATGTATATGCTTGGAGCATCCACTCCTTAAATCTGCCTTTAAGGAGCCGTATTTGCGTGGGGCATCTGCCTTTAAGGAGCTATCCATGGTGCTGAACTCTAGGCTCAATTAGGCACCACGGACAGCTCTTTGGAGCCGCTAAGATCAGCACCACGGACAGCTCTTTAGAAACCCCAGGCGCACGCCTGCCTCCCTGACAGTGGAATCAATAGCCCCTGCTGCTAACGACCCTGTGTGTGGCACAGTTGTGATGTCTGAGCACAATGAGGATGGGTGGCTTGGATGTTTAACAAGCTGCCCACCAAACCCACAGCAGAGTGTGGGCTCTGGGTGGCTTGTTAGCCACTCGTATGTAACCTTGCTGTTTGGACATCACAACAACCTGGTGAGGGCGATTAGTGAAATTAGCCGGCTGGCCGGTTGGCAAGCCACTGTGGCTTATTAGCCACCCTTGTATCATGTGAACTGTGGTTTTGGGTAGTTCAGGACCTGATGGATCTGGGACGCTGCCAATCACCATTTTTGGAAGCACCTCAAGAGAAACCATTGTAGGTTTTGCTGAAATTGGATGGCCACTCTCTTCTTTGCCCTGCCAAAGAAAAGAATGTGAGAGGCAAGGAGGTGAATCTGCTTGACCCTTTCTTCTCCTGCTTTTAGGAGTGTCTCTAGAATGTCCCACTTGCAACACCACTGGGAAGGCTTGCCAGGGACTTATGAAGGCCTGTGACCCTGAATATGACAAGTGTGGCATCATCCAGACAGTGAAGATCATTGGTAAGTGCAAATGACCTAAAGACAGAAATGGGATGGATGAATGAATGGATCTTGGGCAAATGTACAACGGCATTCTCACTTCCGTGGGCTGGGCCGGCTGGAACATTTTTATTTATTTATTTATATCCTGCCTTTTTCCTACCAAGGGCTCAAGGCAGCTTACATCTCCTCCTCCATTTTATCCCCACAACAACAACCCTGTGAGGTAGGCTGGGCTGAGAGTCTGTGACTGGCCCAAAGTCACCCAGTTGGCTCCATGGCTGAGTGGGGACTCAAACCCAGATCCTCTGAGTCCCAGTCCCATGCTCTTAACCACTGCATCACACATTCATGCTAAGTGCCCTGTAGATCAGGAATCATGACGTTTGGTCCCTTTGATGACTTCATCATCTGGAGCCTCCATTAGTGAAAATTCTCCCTACTGTGCTCCTGGATATTGAGTACCTTTTCAAGGTCTTAGGGCTGCTCTGAGATGCCAGGAAGCAATACGGAAATGCTGTGGTCGCCTCAAAATGCATGCTTTGGGTCCACCCATTTGTTCTTGCTTTTGGTTTTGGATGGGGGAGAGGCGGGTAGCTGGGGGGAGAACATCGCAGCAACGGCAGACTGCTCTGGCAAAGGCTGCTGCTTCTGGGCCCCCAAACAACCCTGATGGGGGTTCTGAGAGTGCGTGGTTGCAGCAGATGTTGTCATAGCCAGAGGTAGGCAGAACCCTTCCCGGGCTGCTGGAAGCCCCCTCATGCCAGAGCTGGGAGAATGGGAGGAGATGCAGAGGCCAAGCCGGGGCGAGCGCTAGTTTTCCTGAGGTTTCGGTGTCCTAGCAGAGGAGCATGGAGCAAAACCGATGGATCCAGAAGGCCCAGAGAGGGGCGGTGGCTGCAGCTTGGAGAAGAGGCCATATCTCTGAGGAGTGGCTGAAGCTCTTTCCCTGAAAGGAAGTAGGGTTTCCCCTCGTGGCTGGTCGGGGTACAGGCACTGTGTGCAAAGACCCGCGCACTTGCCAAAGCAGCCCTGGAGCTCTTCAAAACATGAATTGATTTGGAAGTAAGAGTGGGTGAAAAATCAGCTGGGATCACAATTTGACATGAGAGTGCCCAACTGGCACCGTCCCCCCAAAACTTGCAGTGGAATGCACCTTATGAAAGGAATCTATGCAGTTCTGAGACTTGCAAAAAGGAGTTTTTTTTCCCTTAGGTGGTTTGTGGGGGGAAGAGGATGAATACCTTCAAATGTGTATCTCTGAATGTGCAAATGTGTACATCTGGAATAAGAGGGGAAAGAAACAGAATACATAAATAAACATGTGCATCAGACCACACTGCTGTCCTCAGTGGGTGGTAGGCAGATGTACCTTTAAGAAAGCCATACAAATAGGCATACATTTAGCAAGAAGTGTACAAAAATAGGTATGAATTTTTATAGGAGGGAAAACTCACAAGCCAGTGCAGACCTGGATCAGAAAGGCAGAGGAAAAGCAAAACCTTGCCTCATTTACCCAGCCTTCTTCGGACTCTGTGGTCCTAATGAAGGGACTGTAATTTCAATTGGCTGTTTAGCACATTCCTGAACATCACCTGACTGCAAATAGTGATCTTCCCAGTGGGTAAATGCATCACCCAGAAACAGTTCTTCTCAAAAGACAGTCTCAGCATCATGAGTTTGTGATGGAATCCAATCTCCAACAGGCTTCTCAACTCAGAGTATCCAAGTTTTCTTTCCTCATAAGGCAGAGACACATTTCTCAAAGTAAGAGCTATGACAATTTGGGCAGCCTGGGGATTTGAATGTTTCCATAGTGTCAGTAGAAATTCATGCAGCAGTTTGCAGCTTCACCTTGCCTCCTTGTAAACTGGCACTTTTCTTTGGATCACACCATCCCCTTTTTCTCCACAACAAAGAAAAGCTTCTCTGAAAAGCCACACATTGTGGAATGACTTTGGGTAGCTCCAGACAGGCAGATCGGCTCTGGTGTTGCTAGTCCAAAAATGCTATTTAGCTGTTCTATCATCCACCTCATCCCCTTTTTCTAAGATCGTGTCTCCTTCTTGATCCCCACAGCATCCAACCAGAGCAACCACATTGAGAAGAAGTGCATCCGATCTTCCCTGTGCAACAAGGGAATCAGTGTCTTAGATATGGGCAAGGGAGGAACCATCATAAGCAACATTTCCTGCTGTGTGGGAGCTGATTGCCAGAAGAACCCTTCCTCCTGTGAGTCATGGCCTTTCCCCACTTTCCTTTCCCCAATTTGTCTTATCCAACTCTCTGAGAGCCTTCTATCACATGAACTTTTCCTCTGTCGTATGCCTTCTCCCCACCCTTTAAATCCACTGGAATTGCAGAAGTCTGTACTCTGATCACTTAACCAACAGTCCCAACAGATAAATGACTCCAGGTCTCCTTTGGGATAATTTGATTTTGTCTGTTCCCCCTGCTGTAGGAATCACAGTAGTGAATTTCTGCCAGCTTCCATACTGGGAGGGAAGAGGCAGCTGTACCTGACCCCCTGCCTCCCGTGATGCTACTCCACTGATCAGGAGAAAACTGAAAGCCAGATTCCTGGCACTGATATGCAGTCAAGTCAACCCAAAGGGTCCCTTCCAGTTGACAACAACAGGGTCTTACATTAAGCAGTCTTCTTCTCCGTAGCATTTGCAGAATCCTTTAAGATATAAGCACACAGATGCAAAAACTCAGTCACACCCCAAAAGACTCCTAGTTCAAGTTGAGTTGACTCTGAACATCAGACTTCCAAAGACTGATTCAACACTGGCCAAATAAGCCAGGCATGGCTTTGACCCGTCTTCCTAGCTGTGGTCCCATCAGGTAACATGAAAAAAGATTTTGCAAAGAACAGACTAAAGCATCAGCCTGTCACCAATCAGAAACCTCAAGAGGGATTTAGGAGGTGGCCTGGTGATGTAATTTGTTGAGATGATTGAACAGAGTTGGGTTCCAGGAAACCAGATTCTGGCTCGATATCAGGAAAATTTTCCAGATTGTCAGAGCAGTATGACAATGGAAGCCATGGCCTAGGGAGGTGGTGGGCTGTTCCACACGGGAGGCATTCAGGACGCAACTGGACAGCGCTCTGAGAGGAGAGTTTGACTGGGAGGCCTGCCCTGAGCAGGGGTTGGACTCAATGGCCTTCTGGCCCCTCCCAACTCTACTATTCTAGGATTCTAGAGGGAGTGATCTTCTGGGCTACACCGGTCTGCTTTCTCCTCTAATCTAACTGCCTCCTTTCCCTTGCAGGGCCCACCAGAAACACGTCTTCGGCCAGTGAAAAGAAGACCTGCCCAGCCTGCTTCTCTCAGGGGACTGAATGCAAGGAAGAGACCATCGACTGTGCTAAAGCGGGCGAGGTCTATTGCGCCGAGGTGTTTCAGCAGACAACAGAGGAAGGTAACAGGCCCTGATTTCCTCCCCCAGCCCCCCAGCACGCACACACACCTACCCAGTGGCGGGAACAGCATTATTTGCACCATTAGCCCCTTCTGGGGTGGAGAGGAGATTGATGCCTTCTCCGAAAACCAATCATGGAAGGCAATCATGGGGCACCGCAAACCCTCCGTGCTGACTGTCATCTCCTGCTATCTTCTTTTCCAGATGGAAAAATAAAGACCACCATGAAGGGCTGTGCCAACAAGGATTTCTGTGAGACTATGGAGATGTTCTCCACTGGTGCGACGACTTTACTGACAGACAGCCAATGCAAGCTTGCCACTGGGGCAGCCAGCACCATTTCGGGGTTCTGTGGATTCTTTCTTTTGGTCCCTGCTGGGCTCCTCTTTGGGACAGTCCACCTTTGATATCCCCCCAGCAGCGAGACTTGGGGTGCCTGCTCCAGCAATTCCTCCCCCACTGCACCTTGCTTGTGTCTCTTTGACCTTCTACAGATGATAGGCTTTTTGGAGAACGCAGAACTCTCATTGCCCACAGTATCAAGATCCTTGGTCCCCCCCCCCCTCTTTTGATGCATCATCGTGATCTGCATAATGACATGTGGCAGCCAGGGCAGGAGCCATGGCTCAGCATGATCGGGCCACTGCCAGGGTGCCTGCTCCCACAGGGGTCCTGCTCCCAGTCTCTGCAGTCCACTGGCCATGCCGTTCCTCCTCTTTGCTGTTGTTCGGCTGCCCTCTCTGAGCAACTGAGTAGCGGAGGGGTAGAAGAACAGGGGAAAGAAAAGGGCAGTTGTGTCGCTCCCCTAGCCTGCCTCGATGGTCAGCTATGCAGGTGGGGCCCAAAGGAGGCCAGTGAGTGAATGGGCGATACCAGCCAAGAGGAGGCGGTGGGCCATGGACTGCATCTTGCCCAAGTCCACCGCCCCCAGCCTGGAGCTTGCACGGCAGGCAGCTCTCCACGCACGGCATGGGTTGGTCACGCTCACCAGCAGGTGGCACTGGTTGGTGGCAGGTGAAGGAGCGGCTCAGTCCTGGGTGGCGCGATGCAACCGTGTGCCGTGCAGAGCAGTGCCTGGTGCAGACCAAAGGTATGATCAGCCCACGGCGGGCATAGTGGGTGCTTCTCACACCCCGACCCCAGGTCATCCCACACCAATGGATGGCTGCCTTAGCTGGGGCCAGGCCACTGCCCGGTCCAGCCCATTGCCTTCTGTTTCACCCAGTGCCTGGAGCTCCCCAAACCTTCAGGCCAGGTTTTTCCCAGATGTTTCCTCAGCCCTCCCACTTTCCTCAGAGACTTTACCTGCATTTTAGAGCTTGAACACGAGACTTTCCACATGCAGAACTCCCACTGGACTGCCCTGCCATGGAGTGCGGGGCAGGGGATGCTCCCTGCCTTTCTCTTGTGCTCCCCAGAGATGCCACCCGATCCTCCCACCCAGCAGCTGCCGAGCACGATTCTCCTCCACCGCCAGGAAACAAGCCAGTTTCTGCCAAATTTTGAGCAGTATGTGGGGGGGAAATGCCCCCACTAGCTCCCAGCACTGCAGCCAGTGTGCCTGCATGGGCTATGCTTCCTGGGATGATGGGAGTTGCAGTCCAGCATCCCCAGAGGACATGAGCTTGGCATAGCTGGCGTTGGATCATCCGTATTCTTTGAGGACTGAGCCGTCAGAGTGCGAATGCATTCCAGGGTTACACCGATTGCGCCGTATTGAATGATGGTTTTGTGCCTTTGGTCCCACACTGGCCGTTCTCCCTTACCTACTGCTTCTCTCCCTGCCACATCCCATGCTGGAGGGTCCCATGACTTCTAGGGGCAGCTTTTGGGGTGGCACTTGAGGCGATGATTGCTAGAGAAGACTGGAAATGAGCTGGTGCCCTGCCTTGTGGGAGCAGAAGCGCTTTATGTTAGAGCCAAGCCTGGTATAACTTATTGCTCTTTTTGGCCTGCCAGTCCTGACTTCTGACTGATTAAACGAGAAGAATGTGTCACCCGTGTGCACCTTCATGTGGGAGCCATGAGAAGTTTCAGGGGCTTCAGCTTATTCAGCTTCCTTAGGGGGAGAAGGTCAACGGAGGTTTCTGCTTCATCTCTCATCTGAGGCTTCGCATGTTGTGCTCACAAGAAATGCTCACAGCATCCCCACTCTACAAGTCTCAGCTCCTCCTCAGAAATTTGGGGGTTCTGCTTCTTTGCCGACTACTGCCCACACACCCCGACTTTCTGCTATATACACAGGCCTCTCTCGCCACATCAAAGGATACAAGCTCAGGAATTAAGGAAGGGGTGCAGAACGTAAATCTTTTCTGTAATTAAACTCACTGAGCTGTAAGGAAAGCGTAGAAGGTAGCTGAGAATGACACCAAACGCAGAACAATATTTTGAATAGACACATTTAAAATCCAAGCTGAGCTGAGGTTTTCTGCAAAACCTCCAGAAAAGAAGCAGCTACAAAAAAGACAGAGAACAAAATAGGTGTGTGTGTTTTGAGGGGGCTGAACGTATAATAAAGTATTCAGGAATGTGGGTGCAAACAGCATTTGACAACAGTAGCATTTTTTCTTATTTATCTGAAAACTCAGCTTGGGTGTGGTTGCAATGGCAGCTGCCCTGCTTTCCCTTCCTACCCTGCCAGCACGGACTCCAAACATGCCTGGTTCGGAACCATGCAGCGTCAGGAGGCTGTGCCATTCCAGGGGCATTGTGGGAAAACTGACCACTGGGCCCTGTTTGGGGTACCACTGCTATTTGCCAGCAGCAATGAGCAATACTTTATTGGTGTCAAGAAACACACATGGTTTATTTGAACAGGATGATGGCGATCTCATTCAAGTATTTGTAGCAAATAACTTTTGTGGGGCTGGTCTAGTGAAAGCGTTAGGGTTAGGGTTAAGTTCTATAGCTCCCAGCATGTCCCAGAGAGTAGGAGGGAGTTTTTTTTTCTTGGTTTAAACTTATATAGGTGTCTAAATATCAAAACATTCCAATGGAAGTAAATTTACAAGGGATCGGAGCCTGACTTTGTCAGACTAGGCCCATGGAAAGCAATGGCACTTGGGTTGGTTATGACTAACCTCAGAGATTTCAATGCATCTGCCCTAAATATGACTACATCTTGTTTCAATCTAAGGAAGTGTCTTTCAGAAGGTGCTGTGATCCCTCATTACATTTTGGATGAATGATTCACACATACATTATAACAATGAAAATATGGGAGTGTTTTTGGAATAGGGCTGGCAAGCAAAAAAATTAAATCAAAATGGAACCTGGGTTGGTTGGCTGGTATGGGTTGTATGTCCAGTGCTCCATTGGCAGAAGCCTCTTTCATCCAGAAGAAGATTCCATCCACGTTTAGGGAAGAAGTGCATTTTGCTGCTTACCCTCTCCTTCCGGTCTCCACCAACGTTGCTTCCAAGGATTTGGGGACCCTTCAGAACAGTGTGGAAGGGGAGGCGGGTCACGCCAGAGCAGTGGGAACCGGCAAAAGAACCTCTCTCCTTGACATTGATGCATCTGTCTCTTCTTTCCCACTTTCAACTTTTTCAACAAGAACGTCAAGTTCTTTATATTTGGTTCATGAAAAATGTTGTGAATTGTGTGAAATTCATTACTGGAGTCCTTTCTCTGGGCTACAAGGAATCCCTCCTCAGCCCAAACTAACTTCAAAACTTCTCCGGGCTTTGTCTGCATACTTGCAGGACCATAAGAGCATAAATTGCACAATTTAGGAAGGAAGGAAGGAAGGAAGGAAGGAAGGAAGGAAGGAAGTTGGTATTGGCAGGATCTTGAATGCTTACATCATTCCTTACTTCTGCAGTGCTGTCTGGAGAACACACTATCCTGGCAATTCTCCAGAAAGAAAGTACAAGCAACATTATGAGGGAACAGGACTGCGAAACCATTAAAGGCTCTGCAGGATGCAAAGACATTTTTAAAAAATATGACTAACATTATCTAAATGGAAAATTGCTTTCCTGCCTTTATGCTTTTCATTAAAGTGCTTTGCAAGATGCATTAAATTCCCAAGGCCTTGCCCCCAGAAGAGGCAAAATAAAAGGAAAGTTGGCAGTCAGGGCTGGCCCAAGGCAGTCCTGAAGCACGCCTGGGGATGGGGCTAGCCTGGGGGAAAGAGGGTGGGCTGCTTCCTCCTTGACTGTCTGCTCCTATGACCCAGCATCTCCCACTCTGTCACACATAACGCTGGTCCTCTCTTGGTTCCACTGGCTGCCAATTGAAGTCTAGGTCCAATTTAAGGTGCTGGTGATGACCTAAAAAGCCCTGAACGGCTTGGGTCCGAGATACCTGAAGGAGCCCCTTCTCTCCTATGTGTCTGCCCACCTCTTGAGATCTGAGGCAGAGGTCCTGCTCCGGAAGCCCTCCTTGAAGGAGATCAGGAGGGCCAGAAGTCTAGAGGCATGTCAAGACAGGAAGATGTTTTAGACTGGTGTTTGGTGGGTGTTTGTGTGTGTGAAGGTTTTGATCTAGGAAGTTGTCTACTGCCTCAGAAAAGAGTTCTGGAGTAAGGTCTTTGAAAGTTCAAAGCATTTGAGAGATCAGAAATACCCTGGCTAGACATTGTCCAAACTGGAAGTAATCTGTTTGCCCTTTTCTTGCCCTTGTCAAGATACATTATGCAAGCATGCTTTTAAAAATCTATTTCAGTCCTCAGCCTTATGGGTTGATGATAGTAATAATGAAGATTAATTTTACTTATATCATTTCTGCAATGAATGAGTCACCCTGTAATTTAAGCTCTCGGGGCAACCTGCATAAGAACAGTAACCCAATGAATAGTGATTAAAAAAACAACAGCACATGGACATGCCTTTTGAAATCTTTAGAATTCTCCCAAATAATTTTACATTTTTTTAAAGAGGTAATTATTGAAGCAGATAAGGTAGGCCAATTACCTTAGCAGGGCTTATGTCTGAATAGACATAATTGCATGTTTGCAAATTTTTAAAAAGTTGATACCACTTTGGGAATTGTCATTTACATAGTTCTATTCCATTTAACTATATCTGTATATGAATAGGAAAGAAAGGAAAAGAGTCTCTGCCAATTTTACTCTGCTAGCTGAAACGACTATAGGTTCTTAAAAAAAGAACCACACACACCGTTGCTGACATTCCCTCTTTCCAGAGCTGTAGTCAAAAGTTTTGATCCCGGGGAAAGGTGGAACAATCAAGCAGTCTCGTAAATGTATTTATTTATGATATTTATAACCTGACTTTTTTCCTTTCAAGGAATTCAAGGCAGCTTACTTAATTCTGCTCCACCTCTCAATCTTAACTTCACGACAATAACTCTGTAAGTAGGCTGGTTGATAGTCTGTCAACATGGCCCAAATGCGGGTGGGTGGGAACTAGAACCCAGACCTCGTGAGCCGCGTTCCTGCAATCTTAGCTACTATACCACGTGGATCCTCTGTTTAAAAAGACTGAGTCTGCGGTCTCATTAAACCTGAGACAAAATCTTCTTATATTTACTTCTGATTAAACATGCATAGGACCAATGAGCTAATTCCTTTACTGCTGCCAGAAGAATTGCATATAATTCTGCCTGCATGCTTTCATCTAAAGTCCAGAAGTAAAAATGCAGGCGACTAACTTGCTTTAATAAACCTGGACTGCTCAGGCCCCCTTTTCAGTGGGCCCTGCCTCACACCATCTCTGCGGTTTGGTCCTTCTGCCCTCCACCCTCAGCACCTCCCACGACCACCCTTTGGGCGGCACTATTTGCCTAGCTTTGCAATGCAAAAGTCTGAATACAAAAAAGGGCACTTTGGAGGGAAAAAAAGCACTCAAAGATATTTTAGTGGAAGATGTGTACGAATTAAATGCAACATTTTGCTGGCTTTTAATTTAGTAGAGAATAGGATTGCATGGAATTATAATTGCAAACAAGCAACAATGATATGGAGGGGACATTATCTTTCTGTCCCTAGCCAGGGCAATGGGATCTAATGGGTCCAGGGCTCACAAGCTGTTAGGATTTCTTTTAATTAAATCCAGCCCCACAAGTTCAATGCCAGTGCCAGCTCCTCTACTGTGAAAAACGCAGAAGCAAAGAAGAGGGTCTTTTATTTTTAACCTTGGTTCTTGCATTAATTTCTCCCCCCGCCACCTCCAAAAACCCACATCCCCAATTTAGCTACTGATCCTGGGGGAGGGGGGAATGGATGTGCTCCTAAAGCCAATCCAGAACTAGAGAAAAAATTGTGTCCTGGCTTCCTTTTCCCCACCCCCTTACCTTTTCCTTCCCATCAAAGCAGCATCTTAAAAGTCACATTCTAGAGGAGAAAACTGGAAAATCTGAGAAAATGGAGATGGAGATTTAAGCTCCAGGAGAAAGAACCCAAAGGCAGGAGCAGCATCTTTCAGCCATACACAGTTCCCTTCCACCACCGTTCTTTTATTTTCTCTTTTTTTCCTGGTCCTGCATGCAAACTTCAATGCAGCTGCAGAGGGTAAAATCCACGGTGGCAGCTTGTACATCCA